GATTTGTTCAATACGTAGGGCCTGCTAGGCGCATCTTTTTTAGAAGATATTCTTATAATTCTGACAATTAAAAGACACATTAAGCTTTTGATATAAGATCTGGGCAGCCCAAAGACAGTTTGGTAGATGCACGTCTTTCCGTGCATTTGCCCGCATCTTTAGTGTGAGATTAAAAAGTAAAAGACACGGGAAGCTTCATTTGAATCTTCCCAAAATCAGTCTTAAATGGGCTTCTCATGTCTTTTTGACGCACTGTCTTTTAACGACTAAATCTTCCGCAAACCAAACAGTAATAGACTAAAAATCGGTTTTCCCAACTTGTAAACAACTGAAAGATTGCACGAAAAGATACACCAAACGGACCCATAATTTTCTAAATTTTTCTTGGCATTTTGCTTATCTTGGAAGAAAAGCTGAATGAATGAAAAGTATATGGATGTCCGAGATTTGGATGTAGAGGAGCAAAAGGATAGTATTTGATTTTTGGACATTTATTTTCCACTGCCACCTTATGCGCAAATAAACACCACAAAATAGAATTTTCTCTGTTCAAATCAAAACAGAGTATTAGTCAAGAACTAGTTTGCAATTCACTCTTCACCTAGCTAGCTAGCCATGAGACTATAGCAGGCATCATCTGATTCATCATTCATTCATGACCTTTGAATATGTAAAGAGCAATAAGATAAGCATTTGTTAATGCAGGGATTGAAGCTATCCAACTCCACTTGTTCCTTTATCTTTAAATAAACGCCATTCACCAAATCATTTATGTCAATCAAATCAATTTCTTGCTTTCTTCGTCTTTGCTTTTTTTTTTTGTTTTCTTTTTTTATAGGGCGGAGATTAAAAAAAGATCTACTGAAATGGAATACAACAGATTCCACTTGTTGATTTAACTTCCAAACTCAAGAGATGCTGATTTAACCAAAACAGTTGTCTGCTTCAACCTCTTTAAATAGCTTTTCTGGAGCACATCAAAACAGCTGAACCAGCTTAGCTGAATCCTCAGCACAGCCCTCCCAAACCGGTCTTTCTTATTGCTTGCTTTCCTGTCCCCACCTAAAGCTGAGGCATCTTCAGGGTATTTTTACGTCCATCAAGAAATCCTCTTCACAAAATGGGCTTTAAAATCTCAAGTCACAGGAAAACAAAGGAGAGGACAGAAAAAAAAAAAAAACTAATTGCATTCATTTTCAAAGTTCAAAACACAAAAATCCCCCCCCCTTTCCCCCTATACTGAGGGAATTCATTCTTCATCAAACAAAAAAAAAATGAAATAGGTCAAACAGACTGTTACGATTCATTAGCCCCACATCGGTAATATGGGATGCCGTTGTGAGGTGTATATGTGTCTGGGTTCCCTCCCTAGCTTTTAGGGGTGAATTCTCCTAAGGTACATAATAGATGGTATCAGAGCCTACATTATGCCTCCCAATTGCAATCGTGCGGCGTAGGTGGTGACGTCGGTATTGCATTGTTCGGCCGGAACTAGGAGGACTAGTGTAAAGCCAGCCTGTACGAGCGCCGGGACTGCGGAGCGTGGTAGAATGTTACGATTCATTAGTTCCATATCAGTAGTATGGGATACCATTGTGGGGTGGATATGTGTCTGGGTTTCCTCTCTCTAACAGCTAGTTTTTAGGGGTGAATTCTCCCAAGGCACATAACACAGACAGGCCCAGTAAACACCAAAGAAAGCGAATCGTGGAAGCCAAACCTTCTTTGAAAAGGAAGAAAGAAATAACAAATGATTGACAGAGATAAATATCAACTTTTCAAATGAAGCTCGTGTTGGTTAAGGTTCTGGCCCCGACCAATGAAGTGCTTAGGAGTCAGAAGCTTGTCCCTTGATGGTGTTCACGAGGGAAAAGCTATCTCACTAGCACCTTTTTTCCCAAATAAAATTCCATTGTGTAAGAGACTGAGGAATAAACTTTTGGTAGTCTGAAATATATCCATAGAAAACACTGAAGATCATTTTGAATTTTGAATAACCTTGATTACTCGTGAATCTGCCACTCTGTCCCTTTCAGCCAAAAACTAACTTCTTTATTCGTTGCCTCCACAAGCTGCTGTAAGTTCCACTTTAAGCTGCGTTTAGGGTTGAGCGTAACTTCTGATTTACTTTTGATTCAGATTTGATTTTGTCTTATTTGTTTAAAATAAGATAGGAGGTAAAATGAGGTGACCTCCACTTTAAATGAAAGAGAATGAAGGTAGGAAGAGGGTTATCTCTCTAAGAATAAGGTAGGATGCAAGATGATGTGATCCCCATTTTGTATGAGAAAGAATTGAGGTAGGAGGGTGGTGTAAAATTTGCATAAGTTTTTGGGACTTGAATTTTGCACTGCTAATGAGTGCAAATGCGACAAAAGTACAAATTTTGTATCGGCTAAGAATACAAACCATAATTATAGACAAACATTGCAACCAAACACAGGTTCATTGTAATATTGTATTATAATAGTGTTGATATGTAAACTTTGGGCCCAATATGAAATTGAATGAAAAGGAGCTATTGGCCTACTAAGAAAAGAATAACAGAATTTGGGTCCAACCCACTACAAATCAAATTGAATAGCAATGAGCACCTATCACGTAGAGGCTTGAATTTTGAGACAAAGCCCAAAACCCACCGTCGAGTGGCAATTACAAAGGTTTTCTAAGAGATATCCCCTTTGATCAACTTGGTGGGACCCACATTTAAATGGTAATTAATATGGAAAGAAGGTTTAGATGGCCAAGATATGTGATGGTTATTGGCCTAACTAGCCACAGAGATTTCTTTGTAAGTGGATTTAATCTCTTGGCGCTTAGCTTTCTAGCATACCAGCCCCATATGGTAAGGCTACACATGGTGCGTAATCACCCAATTACTGTTCCAAACCCTGACCTTCAAGTGATAGCAAAATGACAAATCAACCAGAAATCTTTTCAAACTAATGTGGCGGGTTTGGATTAAATTATAATTGACATTTAAATGTTCTTAAGTGACAAAATAAAAGGGGAAATAACAATTGGCTAATTGATATGATATGAAGAATCGCTAATTGGCCAAATGGTATTTCCTTTTATATGGGCCCTCCACCCCATCATAAATATTGATCCTATAGCCTAATTCGTAGAGGACCAATTAGATCTTAGATTGTTGGTGATTGATTAGGAGTGATAAAAGAGAATCACGTTAGTAGATGAAGGATCTAGTGGGACCTATTTAACGGAAAAAATTAAGGTTGGCCAGAAAGTCTATTGAAGATCACTAATGACATTCCCTTTTATAACATAGATTTTAAAATTGAAATGGGGAGGACTTTTCAAACGTAGCCATCTACTATAAAATGGAGAGGAGAGCGAGGAGACTCTCTCGGAGAGGTGACTCTTGGAAGAGGAAATGAGTTTTTTTACAGAAAAGAGAAGGAAAGGAAACGACAGAAGAATTTGGAAGAAGTCTAGTTCCTCGTTGCTGTTAAAGTTTCAAGTTAAATGCTGTTAGCCACATGCATGTCAAGAGGCATGCTGAATTGAAATCATTCTCTCCATCTTTGGTCCTCTCTCTCGGGTTTTCTTCCTTTGGCAAATCAATTCTTCTCCTTGGGCTTCGTTGCTTTTGACAAAGAATAAGAGATGGGCTACACCAAGATCAAGGGAAGAAGGATTGGAATTTCAGTTCCTCAACCAATAAAGTTTCAAAACCACTACAGCTCTGTGCCACATCGACCGAAGGATTTGGGCCTTTGAATTGCTATAATCAAAAGCCTTATCAAATTACTACGTCTAAAGAAAATTCTCCTATTTTGTTCACATACAATTGATAATTGCAAGTTCTTTTTACATCTACAACTTATCAAACTTTTCGGATCATGTCCGTGACAAGCTACAAGTACAAGTTTGGGTTATGCTCGTGACAAGAGAATCAAAGGATTTTCGGATTTTCTTTGCAAAATATATATATATATATATCCCACTTACATTTTTGCAAAAAAAAAAAGAAATCTTTGAATTTATCTGCAGTTTTTTTGTGCTCCAAAATTTAGCGCAAAATTTATATCGACAAGTAAATAAAAGGTCGCCATGCATGCAATTATGTACATACAAACGAACAACAATCTCTTAAACAAATACCGTTTGACTGGGCCTTTGGATGGCAGATGGTAACGCTTGCTTAACATTTCTGTTGCTCTTGGTAACAAAAAGCATCGAATTCTAATCAGAATTCAATCTAAATTATAGTTAGATGCAACATATATCTATCTCAATACAAATCGATCATAAAATATTTAAGCATTTACATTTATTCTTGTATTTACATAAGATTGATATATACCTATTTAGTATAGTTAGTTTGAATGCTGTAAGTATATTAAAGAATCATAGTATTCATCATACAAAATCAAATTTCTTTTTCAGTTTATTAATAACACATAATATTTTAGTCATTTTTAATTTAATTTATTAATACTTTAGTAGTATTTAATATCCAGATCAATTCGATTTGATACCATCCAATTGAAATTAATATATTTAGAACACTACTGTCATTTAGATATGAATCATATGATGAGTCACCATGCTTTAGAGAAAATAATCTTCTTATTAAATAGAATTGCTAAAAAATTGGTCAAATTTTATTTTATAGAATACTTATTGCCTAAATGCCCAAAATCACGAAGATGCCTTGACAAATGATATCCGGAATAGCAAGCACTAACATAAATCTTTTGCACGTCATCATCCTTCCTTATACTCAAAATTAGAAAAAAAGGGGGCTAGTTGTATACGAATGATGTCACATTATTACAGTAGATGTGCCAGAATTAGGTAACAAGCTTAAAAGAAGCTTTCTACATTAATTCTGGTACTTTGTATATTGATCTCCTGCGTTGGTCATTCACCAAGTAATAATTCTTATTCTCATGGTGGTTTCCCCTTTTCTACTATTTTGTTGATGATATGGGCAAGCAATCACAAAAGCAGGGTTCAGAAAATTATACGAGCAATGACAAAAAAGACAAGATTAATTAGAAAAATGGTTCTAGTCAGTGGTGGGGGAAAACAAGATCTAGGCACTACATTTGGTGCAAATGGAATTTATGATGGTTATGCAGCAGAACATAAACAATATCATCTGACAAAAAGAGAGTAAAAATCCAGCATCTTGAAGAGGATAACAAAGTACTATCTACAAGTTACTCTTTTTCAGCTTCCTCTTTCTTATGCTCCAAATACCTGTCATAAAGAAAGCACAAGCAACTGAGTTACTATTATTCCAATGTGATTCCATGCATGTGGGTGTGAAATATATTTAAAGCATTCTGGCTTATAGAAACCCAACAAAATACAGCCAACAATAAAACAAATGGTCATTAGAGTCAAAATCATGAAAATTTGAGCAATTCCCATCCAAAAGATTTGCAGTATTTCCTTTTCACGAGGCATCTAGTGCACACAGATCAAATAAAGAGTAGAAAGCGCATAATTGCACAGTTGGAGTGAGGTAATAATTGTTTTTTGTAGAAATTAATTTCCTTACCCCTGAGCCCTAGCCCAACGTGAGAGTTGATAAAGCTGCACTGTCTCATTTGAGGCATGGCATGCTAGAAGCAGATAATTGCGTGGCTGTACCATCCATGCAAACCTCATGAACAACCCCGAATAAATACACATTGCTGCATTACCACATTAAAGGTGAAATTACAGTCTAGTTCTATCACAAGGGCAAAGGGAAGAGATACTTTTCAAATTCACACTTTTTAACCTGCAGTCATATTTCCGGATATCATTTCAGGAGGCTTCTGCATGTCCACCAAGCCCTATAGATGAAACCAGTTACAATTATGAGTTAGAATGAAATGAATTATTAAAGAATAATCCAGTTCATAAGAATTATATGTAGATAAACAAGGAAATAGTTATCATTAGGTGCCATTGGTAATGTTTCAAAAAAAAAAAAGTTTACTGTTCCAGGAGCAGAGCTCCTCCAGGAACAGAAAAAATGCTAGAAAGTAAAAACCTTTCTTTGGAGTGTAAGCAAATGCTAGCAGAATTATCAGAACTAGCCCAAATGTTGATAGAGAAATACACAGGTTAGTGGATCAGCATTTAAGCAGTTTGACCTCGGGGTCCAACTGGTACAGACTACAAATAATCCATACATCTGAGATTTTCTCAACCTCCAAATTAAATATATTAACTTAACCTACATTTTTCAAAACTATATTATTGAATTTTAACCTTTTTTGGGACAGTTTTGCCTTCTATCGGATATTTCCCCTCCCGAATTACTATAGTCATAGAGTGGAATGGACCGAGGAAACCCCTGCCCTTTACTATTTCTTTGTCACACACAACCAGCTCCACTTTTTATCCTTTTCCTTGCACACCTAATCACCTTGTTTACAGAAAGCCAAGGAAAATTTACCCACTATTTTCTGAAAAACTGAATCTGAAGAACTTTTAAGCTTGAAGATTCTTGGTTTTAATAACAAGTTGTATCAAATATGTACATCTGTAAAAAGTTGTAATGCTATGAACTACAGTGAATGAGCCTGAAAAAGAGTGGTAATAACTAGACGAAGTTTTGAATCTTACAGCAACAACGAAGCCCCAATTTGCAACAGGACCCCAAAAATGAGTTGTTTTGGGACCCACAGGACTGTTCAAGAAAGCTCGGAAGGCCGACATTTAAAACTAATGCCGTCCAGACACCTGTATAATGATCCAATTATAGTCAGTTTAAAGCTTTTTTTTTTCGATAGTAGATATAAAATGCATTAAGAAAGGAGATAATGATGATAACTCAGGAATGAAATGCAAACCTAGAAAAATAGACATTTTATAGTGGATTTCATTATAGTAGTAAAGAGTAATACTTTTTCATAATCAACAGTAACCAAGAGATTATTATTGAAGTGTCAAGAAAAAAGGTGGGTTAATCCCCTTTATCTAAGATGGGTAAAGGGGGAGTCGGAAATCACAGCACCAGGCTAACAAACCATAATCCAGAGTATACAAGGCAGCCTTACTGCTCAAAACCCAGGGCCTGGAGGCCCCAAACTCCACCCCTAGTAACAAGAATTACTATTTGACATTATAAAAAATGCAAAGGTGCAATTCTAGACTGCATAAGGACAGCAAGAAGAAAACGTAACATAACAGACACATCTTCAATTTTAATTCTTTTTTGAATGTTAAGTTATTGGACTTTATCAATATCAGAGAAGAGAATGGTATCTACAATCAGAAGATTGATTATCCAAATTTGTTAGGCTAGCCATAAATACCCAACCCCATCTTGTATAACATCAAGAATGTGAAAAAGGGCAGCCCAGTGCGTGAGGCTCCCACCGATGTGGGGTCTGGGGAGAGACAGATGTACACAGCCTTACCCCTGCACATACAGAGAGGTGGTTTCCAAGATTTGAACCCTGGTCACCCAGGTCACAAAACCCAACCATTGAGCCAAGGCCCACCGCCATAATGACATCAAGAATGTGAACCCCAAATATAGTTGTACCCTATTCACCCCTTGTTTAGCTGAAGAGTCATCCAAACGGATTACTGTTCTTTGGAACCAAGTAAATGTAACATTCAGCTCTCTTGACAAGTGTTTTTTTTAGTCAATAATCTCTTGACAAGTGTTTGATTTCCCTTGTTGCATGCTGGTAGTACTATGATTCTTGACTATTATTCCTCAGCCAGCGTAGTACCACCTTAGAATCTCCTTCCACCACTATTGCTGAAATTAAGATTTTCCAAGCTTCAACTCTTGTAGCACTGCTAGTAGTTTAGCTCTTGTAGAGTCTTCCATACCTATAGACTATACAAACATGCATAGAATGGCTCTATATCTGTTTCTAAAGATCCATCCAATTCCACAAATGCCAGAATTCTCCATGCTGCATCCATTAAAGTTTAATTTGATTTGGTTCAAAGCTTCAACCTTTGTAATATGACTAGTAGTTCAGCTATTATAGTCCCCCATACCTATAGGACCTGAATATAAGTATAGAATGGCTCCATATCTCTCTGTTTCTAAAGATTCCTCCCTCCTATGCCAGATTCCAGGGTTCCCCATGTTGCGTCGAACAAAATTTAATTTAATTTAGTTCAAAGTGGTGGGCACCACTCCATATTGAAGATGAATGAGCCACAACATGCCACCATCTCAAGATAAGGGGTGCAGTGCAACTTGGGTTGGCCCAAGTTAACATTTTACACTGTTTTGGGTCAGGGCCCATTGAAATTTTGACAAAATCCCAACCCTATTGTGCATCTCCATAATGTCTTTCATCTTTTCTTGAGTGGGTTGAAGAAAGATGCCTTCAAGAGACTCTTCATAACTCCTGGTGGAGTCCACCTGCTACCAAAGAGAGAAAGAAACCAACCTAAGATAATGAAAACATAATGGCAGGAGATTAGTAGATGGGAAGTGGATGCACACTTGCATTACAGAGAAAACACTTGTGGGGTGACAAACAACAATTAGGTTTTCTATTTGAAGTGTCTCACAAGTGTTGATTTTCAAATGGAAAACCTCCCAACAAGAAGCCTTGATTTTAGCTAGGGCTGTAATCAAATCATATTTGGATCAGACTACATCAGCATCAAATTCCGATCTGATTGTCAAACCTTTGGATCTGAAATCAACACATTGGGTTTAACCTGCATCCATATTATTGTGTTTAAAATGACAATAATTAAAAAAAAAGTTATTAAAACTAATTATTTTTAACTTATACATGTAGAATAAATGTATATAAATATAAAATATTAAAATTATCAGTGACAAACTTTATATTGTATATAATATACATACACACATAATTATACTACACACACACACACACACACACACATATATATATATATATATATATAATAATATTTTTTTATCGGACTTAGATTTTAATTGGATCAGGTGGGGTTAAATCCACATCCGATCCAATTATTAATCTGATGCAAGTTCTAAGTTCTAACATCCAAATCCAGGATAATCAGATTTGGAAGTGAATCAGGTATTGGGCTTTTTAAGTCCATTGACTATAGACTTGTTCATGGGCCAGGTAGCCCGATGGCCTGGCTCATACTTGGTCAGGCTTGAACAAGATTTTAGGCATGCGGGCTTGGGCTTTCTCAAAAAGAACAGCCCAAGCCCGACCGAATAATATTTTATATAATAAAAAATATATATAATATATATTTTTTACTTTGTTCCTCCTCTTTTTTTTTTATATCTTTTAAAGGGATACACAATGGGGGGTAGCCCATCCCCCAACCCATAACCCCCCAACCTAGGTGCAGGCGGGATTTGATCCCAAGTCTCCACTACGACCAGCAAGAGACCTTACCAACCAATTGGTTGGCACCTTGCAACCTCTTCTCTTTTCTCAAGTCATAGTGAGATCTTTCAATATTTTTGGGTTTTGAGGTCATTTAACATAAATAAATCACTTTTATTGTTGAATAAAAATAAAAAAATCTTGTCCAATTTTTTTGTCAGGCTTTAGGCTTTATACGAGGGTTGGTCTCGGGATAAAGATCTATACCTGATGGTCAGGCTGGGTTCAAGCTAGGGCCTGAATATATCCTGTTAATATAGAGGCAAAGCTTGGCCTGAACCTGGCCTGGGTTGACCGGTGAATTGGTCTAACTGACAGCCCTAATCTTAGGTTCATCTAGCCTGTTCCAGATGGTTCTTACTGAAAAAGCAAGTGATAGATTAGGACATTGGGTTGACTTGAGAGAACCTTAAACGAGGCACAAGAATTATAACTTTTGAATACTCAAAATCCCATAAGCCTCTTCTAAGTTCCAAATCCTAGGAACTTAGATAAAAAGATGTAACAAGAGATGGTTTTGTGCTTATAGGATGAAAGGGAATAAATGATGGGGAAGCACTCCTTCAATGGTCTATCTCCCCACCAGATATCTTTGCAAAACTTAGTCATGTTCCTAGAGCATACATCATACCAGTATGTTATTAGAAGGTAAGAAGCAAGCCTGAAATAACTTTCCATGAAGAGGCTAACAAAGCTCTAGAGGCCATCCTCACATCCCACCCATTTGTTTTCATGCCATGAATGCTCCCAATTACTTGCCCAACAAAGGACAACTTGAATTTAATTAGAAGACCATTCCATGCTTACTCAATCTTGAAGACAATCATTTTTTTTCCAATCTTTAGCATCTAGGTCATCCAATTATGCTTCAGGACCAAAATTCCAACCTAGAAAAAGGGCATTTGATTGTGGATAGGTCTGTTCACGAGTCTGACCAAACCGACCAACCTAACCCAACTTGATCCGAGTTGGTTGGTTTTCATACACTGTTGGTTGATTTCGGTTTGGTAATGTATAAACCAACCAAAACCAACCCGACCTGACTATAGCCATATGGTAGTATATATCTTATATAGTATATATAATTATATTTTAAATTTTTAATATGGGCTGTTTCATTTGCATATATTTAATTATGGTTTTGTATATATCTAAATCTAATAAATTTAAATATATATACATATATATATATATGTATATTTCTGTTTTGCAAATTGCATAAAAACCAATGAATGTATATGTATATTTCTTTGAGAGCTGAGATACTTGCAGCTCTTGAAGGGGTACAAAGAATCAAGGATATGCATATTAACAAGCTGATCATAGAAGGAGATTCTGAAGTGGTGGTAAACTGGCTGAAAGAGGATAGTTTTAGACTTTGGAATTACAGTAATGAAAAGAGGAAATTTAAGTGTACAAATGGGTAAAAAGAAGTGCGAACTCTTTGGCAGATGGTCTAGCTAGACAAGGGATGAATAGAAATTCTATATTTTCGGCTGTTTTGTAATTTTTGTTTTTGATGTTTAATGGTTGTTCTTGGGAGCTAAGATTGTTTAGCCCCCTCGCCCTGTAACTTTTTCATATTATTAATAGTAATACAATCCACAGTTATTGATCAAAAAAAAAAAACAATGAATGTAGTAGAAGATTGCTGAAATAAAAATCTGTAAAAGAAAGAATAATATTTCTTGAAGAAGGAAAGAGAGAAAAAAGAGAAAAGAGAGCAATAATTCCGGTTGCCCTCTTCACTATTATTTATAGTTTAAAATAACGAGTACAAAGACCAATATGCCCTTATAGGGCAGCTAACACATAAAATAGCATAAAACACTTAAAATAACTGCTCAAAAAGTACCCAACAAGAGTGTTGTGGTCCTCACTTCCTATCTAAACAATAAATAATCAAAAACTACCACTTCAAACTGCACAAAACTGTCTAAAATCTCAACACTCCCCCTCAAGTTGGGAGTAAATGTCACACATTCCCAACTTGCATAGATTGTGTTAAAGCTTGTTCTTTGCAACCCCTTTGGTGAAAACATCAGCCAACTGTAATTCAAAGGAGACATAAAGCAAGCAAACTTCTCCAGTTGTCACCCTTTCTCTTATGAAGTGCCTATCAACCTCAATGTGTTTAGTCTTRTCATGTTGAATTGGATTGTGGGCAATATTGATTGCAGCTTGGTTGTCACAATATAACATCATGGGCTCCTCAACTTTTATTCCAATCTCACTCAGTAGAGACCTCACCCAAAGTAGTTCTTAAACACCATGAGCCATAGATCTATATTCAGCCTCTGCACTTGATCTAGCCACAACTAACTGTACTTTACCATGAAACTAACAAAGGTGCATACCCCTGACGTA